CTGTAGAGTGACTGTTACAAACCCTTTGCCTTTTTCACTCACTGCGTGTATGTGTTTGTATGTTGGGGACTGTGTCAGTGTGCACTTGGGTGTGTGTGTGTGTGTGTGTGTGTGTGTGTGTGTATTTAAAGACACCCAAAAACAGTGTGTGTGTGCGTTCTCTTCTCAATGGCAGCATGTTTTGTTTTGTATCTCACTCCTACACTCTTAAGAGGGCAGTGGAAGGCCTGCCAGCTGAGCTGCCATGGTTACTGATGTAAGAAAGATGAACTCTGACCTGTTGTAACCCCTATCCTGTCCTGCTGACAGCCATGTGATGGCCAGAAGGATCTCTAATTCCTCACAAACGCGCGCACTCATCTGAAGAGGAAGGAAGGAAGGAAGGAACCCTGTTTTTGCCTCCTTAAGCCCTTCTTTTAAGGATGAAGGATGATCTCTTTTTGATATTGCAATTTGGTTGCCAGTAAGAGATTGCACAGTCTATTGACTCTAAAGAGTGAAAAAATAGGGAATTTTAGGAAGCATTTTAATTAGTACAAAGTAAGAACAGAAAATAAAAGAATAACAAGTTACTGTTAAAAAAAGAATTAGAATGGAACAATGTTGCATTGTTGAAATACGATACAATGAATTCACGTAGTACTGTAGCTGTCTGACATGGTGATACTATACGTGTCTCTTGTTGTTTTAGGTTGTGCACGTCACAGGCACAGCTTTACCCAGCACTGGACCTGCTGGGTGTGTGTGTCTGCACCACCAACGAATTTTCTCTGTTCACAAACACGCATCTTTTTATAGGCCAAATCAGGAAGAGTGTGTATGCGCGCGCGCGTGTGTGTGTGTGTGTGTGTGTGTGTCAACAAAATATTTGTATTTGCCTGCATGGAAGTCAGGATCGAGGTCAATTCACTGAGTTCAATTTAAGAAGCTTATTATCAATAATGAAATTCTTGATTGAGAAAAGTGTTTTATCAGATGAGTTGCATTGTGCAGCACTTGATTAAGCTGTACTTTGTGTTGATTGCCGTCAGAGTGAATTCACCTCAACCCTGGTGTGAGTAGTTACCGCTCTCCTCCAGTCTATCCTGTATCCAGGGATGTAAGTCTTTTGAATTGAATTCTACTGTATACACTACAAATTATAAGGCATATCACCTCCTCCCTGTCCCACACAAGCCCTCAGTGCCTGTCAGCCCACTGCCTCCCCTTTGTATGTGTGCGTGCACGTTTGTGTGGGTGCATGTACACACATGCCTGTCAATACATGCGTGTGCAGCAAGTGTGCTCGATTGAGGAGTGTTCAGTGTTTCCAGTGAGTGGGGTCATACTTCGTATCTACTTGCACACACTACTAGTGCACAACTGACACCCTTCTTTAAGCTGTTTGATGCGTTACCATTACATTAATCTTCTCACAAAGTAGTGTAATACTATGATTTACTGTAGCTTGGTTTTATTGCTATTTTGCATTTATAGTTTGGTTTTTATTCTGCTTATTTATAGGTGCTGTATTTTTCATCTAATGTCTTATCATTTGAGTTGTCTATTTTTTAAGGGATTATACTGTTCCTGAGGGCAAGTAACATTTTTATTAGACGTATAGACTGCCGGCAGTATTGGTTAATATTTACAAAGATGTACTAGTTCTCATTTGTTTGTATATTCATGAATCCTAAAGTTTAGTGTCATTTGAATAGCTTTGAAAAATGTGTTTGCTACAGTTCATGCTCCCATAAGCATAAAGCTTTTACCACAAGTTATGCTCTTAAATTGCTAGCTAGAGAATCAAAGGACATATCAAGATCAGTGAATATATGATAGCATATCTGACTTTTCCTGTTTTCTATTATCCTGTTATGTTTTTTTTAAGCTGTTTCTTGGGCAAGCCCAACACTAACGCTCGGCAGGGCATGCAGCTTTCTCTTTAGACAGAGTTCGCCCACTCTTTAATCACATGAGCAGGTCCAAATGTGTACACTTTGTCCAATAGGTCAAATGAAATTGCCTAAACTTGAGAACACATATTAACTTGAAAGAGGTCATATCTGCCAAATTGAGATTAGAGAAGTGTACCAGCAAGCAGGTGTGCTGCGCCAGACTGAACAGAGATAGCCAGCCTATGATTATGCAGAATCTATACCGTGGTCCGTAACAGAGCACTTACTAGGATCCTTTTTGATGACTTAACCTAGGACAGGGTCTGTAAACACTACAACAGAGTACGATCCCGGGATCCTGGGAGATGTATGCCTTTTTTAAAAGTGGTTGTGAACCAAGCACAGACTCTTATCTGCATTCTAACACTAAAAAAAAAACAAAATCAAACATAAGAATACTGCACCCATGTTTTCTACACGATAAGCTGCATTCTTATACAGCAGCCCCTTATTTCAAACCATGGATGACTGTGTGACAGAAAGAGCCGTTGTCCTATGAGTTACTGCCTGTTTTGGTTAGTATCCAAATTCTTATCGGCCCATCCTTAAGCCTTCCCCTCTTCCTGAATATAAAACAAGATATATTGGCAGCCAGTCAAAAGATACTGACAACCCCGTTGCACTGAATTAAGATGCATTAGTTAAAATTGGATTTTCTTATGTATCGAATAATTGTAAAACCCCCTCAAACATTGGCTCTTCCTGTGGACGGCTGATGTGAAACATCTGTCTTCTGCAGAACACTTGTGGCTTATTACCTTCTGTTGGACTGCTTGGACTGGACAACCACAGTACGTTTTATGGTGATGAATGGCTACTGTAAAAGTATAAGCACTTAACCCAGAAGCCATTTTACAGTCAGATCCATCAGCTCACCCAAACCATGTGAGATCATCAGATTTGTGCCTTTAACTGCCAAGCAGGGCACCAAACTAGTGATGTCATTAGATGTAGATGATTTCACCTGATTTGTTCACAACCTGTCTGACATCTTGATCTAAATTCATTTCTCATATTGGTACGTAAAAGTCGACTTTTCTCAGCTTTCTGCAGAGGGTTGTAAATAATTGCAGCGAAACAGTAAAAGAAGAAATTAAACCCCTGTATTGTTATGACTGACCTGCAGATGCGTATTGGTCTGGGTCTTATTTCAGAGTTGTTTTCCCACAATGCATTTCTTATATTGTACATAACCTAACTAGCAGCGAAAGGCCAGAGCATTGAATGAAGGAGGAAGCATGCAGAAACAGCGCTCACTGTAATAACACTGAATTTATTCCTAGGGCATTTTGTTTTATTCTGTTTGTCGGGTTTGCTGTGACATTATTAACGGCACTACAGGTATCGATATGACGTGTGCCAATTCTAATGGTTATTTGGAAAAGAGATGTGTACATACATTTGATCAAGTAGCTATTGATTCACTATTGTCACAGTATGCTTTTTGTTTGAAGGCAGGAAGAGAGAAGGGACGATTCAGGACTTTTCCATGATCCACAGATATTTTTCTACAAATTTAAATCAGATGATTCTATACACTGTTGAATAACATTGTAAAGGTGTAACAGATGCTGTATATCATATCATGTTTTCTGAAGTCGTAAAGCTTTACTGTATGATCTGTTGAAGTAGTGGTTCTTCATTTAACATATTAGTTGTAATGGAAGCCCGAACAGCAGCACTGGTCACCATATTCAGGAAAAAAAAAAAAGAAAGAAAAATAAAACCTCAGATGTTTTTTGTAATACTTTTAGAATATATCTAATGAAGTGGGTTTTGTAAGGAAACGCTTTCGAATCAGCGGTGCTGTACTCATAGCACACTCAGTAATACATACCTTTCGTAATACAGCACAATTACACTCATCCTTTAAACTCCCCCCACTCCACTTGCGTGCTTTTTCGTTTCACTCACCTCTCACATCGGCTCCAGATAATTTTAAGTCTTAAACCATTTCCTCTTATTGCCTCATTTATTTCACGCCTAAATGTACAGTTTTTGCAGCCAGAGAAACTCTGGAACAATAAACATTTCAGTGAAACGTTGCAAGACTTAAAAGAGGAAGCAAAAAGCCAAATAGTGAAATAGTCGACCACCTCTGTTGGAAGGTTGCTCGCAGTTTTCTGTATGTTGCTACCTTGTGTCGTCTCTTCGGTTCACCCATAGCTTAAACCACAATGTAGTCTGACAACCAAATGACCTGGGGAGATCTTCACCCCCTCTCCCCCCCCCTCCCATTTTTTGGAAAGCTTTAAGATGCTCGTTGAGGCTTTAGCAAGTTCGGAGTGTTTTCAGATGATTTTTCCAACCTGTCATCAACAATGTGGAAGTAATAATTCTCATACCTTCTCCCACTGCTTCTTTTGTGTGTGTGCGTGTACGTGTGTGTTGTAGTACAAAAGGCTGCATGACTGTAAAGGGATGGTTACGTTTTGTTTTGTTGTTTGTTTTTTTCTAATTTTTTTTTTTTTTTTTTTGGAAAGTCGTTTGTTTCCCTAGTACTTCTGTCACTCCTTTGGGGTTTCCCTCCCTTTCGTTTTCCCTCATGCATCGTTGTTTCTTTATCTTTCTCTTTACTAAACGTATCATGTTGTTTGTTCTCAGCACTGTAAAACAGTCCCTTCTACGACATCGAAAAGCAATATCACTGTATGAAACGTTCACAATGTATTTGTTATGATTGACATTTGATTCATCATCATTATTATTCACATGCACCCTAGGTGTGATAATTGAAGTAAATCTCTTTTATACAAATACTAAAAGTGTGCTGTGGTAGTTTTTTTCCCCCCCACTTTTGTTGGAAAATGCAATTTGTTGAACAGAAGGGCGATTGTGTACAATAAGTATTCTCAGAGAAAGAGATGAGTAGGACAGAGTAGGATTGTGGGGCAGAAAAGGGGGGATCCTACAGGGATGTTATGGATGTTGGACTGCCGCTGACATTTATAGCTGCTACAGGTGAGTTATTTCAGGAACTGTTAATACAATTCAATGACAAAAGAACTTGGACTGAAGAATAATGTACAAGTTATTGTTATCTTTCTTCTGTGCCCACAACAGGCCGTTATGCAGAGCTGCAGGTGGAGTTTTCAGCTGCGGTGCAGACCAGCGCGGAGCAGAAGGAGCTGATCGTGAAGCTGGAGCATGACCTGAGCACCATCCAGGCCATGTCCTCCCTGCCGCGCCCTGACGCAGATGGGTCAGAGATCAGCAACATGGAGAACATCCCGGAGCCCATCAAAGAGGCCACTGCCCTGTTTACTGGTATGATGTAAATGTAGTGGCACGTTAAATATTCAGGATTACTGTACCATTTGATGCATCACATGCACTGTCAGTCATATCTTGATACATTTTCCTCCTTTGCTATTTTGAAAAGATAAGCTGTATCATGACTTTTGCACTAAAGCAAACTCGTTCCCATTGACGTGTTTTCTGATAGAGGCGTTAACATGAGTCTAGTGTCAGGCCTCACAGGCAAAACATTGAGAATACTGACATGCTGTAGTCTGACATGCTGACAACACAACCTATCTAACTGAAATAAGGTGATGAACCTGCTGAGAAGAGGCCTTGCAGGGGCTGTTTGTTTAAATACTGCAAATATGCCTGATTGGAGAAACCGAAGTGCTTCTTCTCTTATATGTGCTAGTTGTAACCTGTTTATTGGAATTAGGCTGGCACTGCTGCAAATAAAACTGGAAACAGCCTTAAATTCAACCACGAAATATAGTGAAATTTACCAGTTTGACTTAACAACATATGTGCATGTAAATAGGGGAAGTGAATTATGGCGCTTAAGTGTTTATCTGTGCCATCGGTGTTATCTCCAGGTTCAGGTGTCAGTCCCCATCCGGAGCTTCCTCAGGGCCAGATGGACTCACTGCTCTCCATCATCTCCAGCCAAAGGGAGCGGTTCCGCTCTCGCAACCAGGAGCTGGAAGCTGTGAGTCACACTCTCTCTTTCTCTCATACACACACACACACACACACACACACACACACAGAAATACACACACTTACTATATTCTATTTTT